ATAAAATGTTATTATGGAAAAAAGCATGTTGCTAGAAGTGAAAGCAACTGTGTTTTCGAAAGTCTCATTAACACTTATTGCTTGTTATTTTCTAATTACAGCTGCTAGCCAGCTGATGTCTCAGAAGCTAAAAACAACATATAAAGCTTCCACTAGTAAGGTAACAGACAAAGAAATAATCTAGAGCTACATTTATTTTAAAAGCCTGGGAGAGTAGATTGAAAATCTTTGTCAGCCCTCAAGCTTTATTGTCAGCAAAAAACAGATGTCTAACTGTTGGCAGTGCTGAAGGAAAGCAACATGTTCTTCCTTTTATACTTTGCTGCTTTGATCTAGATTGTCTCAAGTTTCAAGACTCCTAACCAAGCAACCAGTATTGAATGTCACAGGACAAGAAGTTATGCTGGCCATAGAGATGGCGTGTGGGAGGTGTCCTGTGCTAGACACACACCCACCATGATTGGGACAGCATCTGCTGGTAAGTTGCATTTATTTATTTCAATTTAATCGGGGCTCCCTAAATGTGCCAAGATTTGAAGCTTAAAAGGATGTCCATCATTTGTGAAGTTTTGAACTTCAAAAAAATTTCTTAGTGAATTCACACTGTGGGATTTCCTTGAAAAATTTTACAGCATAGTATACATAAGCTTAACATCTGAATGATGATCGCACACTAAGGTTTTCTTGTTCAGAATCAGAATCATATATTTGAAGAGCATGCTTTCAATAAAAGGTATCGTGATAGACCTAAATAGTTATATGTAGTATGTATCCTTTATATATTGAATGTTCAATCCTTATGCCATGGGTGAAAGTATCTACTTATTAGCAAGGGTTGCAAAACATGTATGCCCCAAGAAAAGCATAAATGATGGAGGGCTAAGGTGATGTAGTGATGGGGAAAAGCATAATAAAGAGAGAATTAAGAAGTGTGTCTGCACCCTTGAAACTGCTAAGTGATGAGCGGAGAAGTCTGCCAGCTGTGGTGGCTGACCCTTATTGAAGCCACGAGTTGGACTCGGTGCTTTGGTCCTGAGGTTACTGGAGTGTCAACATGATACACTGAAAAGTTAGATCATTTATGAAGATTTCATTTTTACAGCATTTCGTTTCTTGCAGATCGTTCTGCCAGACTTTGGGATGTAGAAACAGGGCAGTGTCTTTTAAAATACTTGGGCCATAATGGATCAGGTACATGTACATAGAGTTGATTAATTGCTAAATTACCAGGGAAACCCATGTATCATGTCTGCCCATGCAACATGTCTGTATAATGTAAGTTACATATAGCATATTTTACACCATTCAAGTCAGTTTTAAGTTTGTCCATCCATTCAATTATCAATGGCAACAAAGGGTCATAGATTGCACACCAATATTGAATGAAAGGGAGGTATGCTCAGAGCATTTTTTACCAGCTACCCTACTTAGATGATATGTTGTTTTTTTAAATTAATATTTTATAACACTTTCTTCTTGTTAATTTTGCAGTGAACTCCATTAGATTCCACCCAACTGATGCAATAATTTGTACAGGTAATCTGCGACATCACTCTGTAATGTCAGTGACGTACGGTATCTATTCTAATAAGCATGATTATTGTTTTGGGGAATAGCATCACCCTCTCAGGTGGTGCCTTCCTATCTCTAATCAGATTACATTTTGTAACTGATTAGCACCCATCTTCCAATAGCCACCCTTATAAATGCAAAATACAAGCCTCTGTCTTCTTACGACGGGAAGGGGCGATGGATCTACTGCAATTCTTTTAAAACATATATTTTTTTTTTAGGATCAGGAGATGGCACATGTCACATATGGAGGGCATTAGACTCAAATCCTGAGCAAGTAAGACATCAATAATATATAGTGCAACAGAAAGCCTACTGCTTACAGGGCACAGCAATGAACGTACATGTGNAACTATGGGATGTGGAAACAGCTGAACAAGTTCATCAATTGACTGGTAACCTTGATCATCATATTACACCAGAGTTTTAGAAAAGTCGGAAAATGTGTCTCTTGTAATTGTAATGACTTTTCTTTTCCTTTTCAGGCCATGACCAGGAACTTACCCACACCTGTACCCACCCCACGCAGCAGCTAATTGTCACCTCTTCCACCGACACAACCTTCCGTCTGTGGGACTTTAGAACTCCTTCTATTCATTCAGTTAACGTGTTCCAGGGTCATTCCGAGTAAGAAATCCTTAGTTCTTTCCCGTTTTGTGTGTACAAATTCATCTCTTATTTGCTTTACTTGTTAGTCGAGTCTTCCTTCAAACTTCTCGTCGATCTTAGGGTTCAAAATGGCAGCTTTGTTGACGCGTATATCTTGTTTGTTTGTTTGTTTACAGCACGGTTAGATCGACTGCCTTCACAACCAAAGATATTGTTGTCAGTGGAAGTGATGACAGAACTGTCAAGGTTAGTACATGTAGTCTTCATTGCAGAGGTTCGCGGCCAGAGGTGTTAGCGATCTGAGGCTAAGGGTCGCTTTCCATTGGGCGAAAAATTCTGGTTTCCAGCGACGAATGGTACAGCATTATCCAGATTTTCGGGAAAAGAGGACAATCTCGTGAGTTATGCCAAATTCTCGTAAATTTCCATTTCCGTTCCATTTGATTTTTCCCCCGGAATTTCGGGAATTTTTAGTTGAATGGCTTGCATTTCGGAAATTCAACAATTTTTGGATTTTCCAGAAAGGTTACCAGGAAAGTTTCCGTACCATTTGCTTCCGTTTCGGTTTTGGTTGAATGGAAAGCGCCCAAGTTGGGGCTGGTATGTAGGTCGTTGGGGGCAGGGATGTATAGGAAAGCAGGTTACTCAGCGAGTAGTGGGCTGGAGCGAAGGTGGATTGGGGCTCAGGGAGGTGAGAGAAGAAGAGGGAACTGACAGGCAGAACTTACGAAGGATCGCCACCGTTGATGCCTGATGCAGTGTAAAAGAGTTGAAGAAATGCAATTTTTGTACAAATAGAAGGAACACTAAATCAACGCACAAGTACCTAAATACTGTACGCTTTTTCACTTTCTTTGATTTCCTCGCTCAAGTTTGAACATTTTTTTTAGGTTTGGGATCTGAAGAACATGCGCTCACCTCTAACAACCATTAATACAGATTCATCTGTCAACAGGTAAGTCAAAATCAATATGTATGTAAGATAACGACTGCTAATTGCCACCTACTTTGACTCTTAAGCCCCGGCCAAACGATCGCAACATTTCAACACAACACATCGCAACATTATTGGGCACATCATGTTGCGTGCGTTTGGCCACCCTGTTGCAATGTGTTGCGACATGTTGCGACAAGTTGGGTATTATTGGCTCAAATTTGAAAATGGTCAAATTTTTCATGCAACATTTGTGGATGTTGCACGAGGTTGTACTCGTTTGGCCAGGTTCGTGCAACAGTGTTGCGCCCGGGCATGCGCACTAGTTCGATTATTCAATACCCAACACAGGGCTCGAAGTTAACTTTTTGGTCGACTTGCAAAGTTTTGCTAATAAGTTTTTTCCACTAGCAAACTGGTGAGACCGCTAGCAAATTCTTTCCAAATGTTTGGGAGACATGGATGATTCTAACTCGCAAACGTTTGCTGGTGAATATTTTTCTCACTCGCTGATTATCAAAGTCACTCGCATTTTGCGAGTTTGCGAGCGTTAATTTCGAACCCTGCAACATGTCGCAAGACGTCGAAACAATAGTCTGCAACTGAAACACTTTACTAAAGGTTGTTAACATTTTTTTCCCCAGACTTTCCGTGTCACCAATAAACAATGTGATCGCCCTTCCTCACGACAACCGACATATTCGATTGTTTGACATCAGTGGTGTAAGACTTATTCGACTGCCTCGCAGAAACGGTCAGGTATGTGTTTAATTCTGGACTGGAGTATTTTTCAGAGGTTGTCGTAGTGTAAACTGGGTGTTTGTTAACTGCATTGCTCAGATGATTAAACAATCAAGGTCCAGGAAGAACACCAATACATTTCTATATTTTACACTGTAGCTTTCTGGAGAACATATTTCTAGTGAAAATCCAAAACAATTTAAATCAAAGAAAACATATACACAATAACGTTTTGTCAGAAGTTTCTCACACGATTAAAATCCAGAATTTAGACCATCTAAATTGGAGTTTTTTTCTTTTCCAGGCTAAACAGGTTTTATAATATTTTTGGGTATTAAATACCAAATTTCAGCCTGCAAGTTCTTAAATCACTAGGTTCGTATATTACTGTATCATTCACGTCAGATACATTGCGCAAATCATGGTTGTAGTGTTTTCTCAGTGTACCAGCGATTTTGAGCGTCTTAGTGTACCTCAGTACCTGGGGAAAAAGTTAGGACAAAGGTAGTGTGAACGCAAAGCTTTTGACACGTTTTCAGTTCGAAAACGCGATCATCCAAAACCGGTACATGGTTGTGATTGGCAGCCTGGAAAGATTACATTGGTGTTACATTTATTTGAAAGAAAACTTTTCCTGCCAACGTTGGCACAATAGTGTCTTATAAATATATGCCTTTCTCTCTGCCTTGTGTTATTTTTTTCAGACCTTTCTGAAGGCCACAAAACATTACCTACATAGTTTTGTAGCCTTTTACGGAGATGTTCTTTCGGCTTGTTACGCATGTTACATTCAGTAAGTAATAGATCAAAGCTGTAATCCCTTATTGTTCACGTTTTCAGGGTCATCAACGAATGGTTTGCTGCACAGCATGGGGAGAAGAAACCAATGTCAAAACTTGCAATCTGTTCTCTTGTGGATTTGACAGACGTGTGCTTGGATGGCAAGTCAGAGAAGAGAAAGACAAATGATCCAATGAATATATTTGTAATAATGAGGGTGAATAGTCTAATTCTGGTCCTCTCCCTGTCACGCAATGCTAGGGAGAGAGAGCTCAGCGTTGCGTGGCACAGAGAGAGCCAGAACTGGACGAGAGAGTAAAATGCTTCTCCTTTGTGGAGGGAGGTGTTGCACCGCGGTTAAATTTTCACCAGTGGAAAAATTAATTGTCCAGCACCTGGTCTTAAATGAATATTAAGAAATTGGATAAAATTTTTTGGTAGATGTGGACTGTTGGTTTTACAGGAGTGCAGTGCACAGTAATGGTTTACAATTAATTTATTATATTAATAACATTTGTGAGAGTGGTTTCTCATACCTGCACTGGTTGTGGGTTTTGCTCCAGTTTGAGTTGTTTTGTACAACTTCTGTAAATTAGTGAATGATGCACTCCAGGCATTATATGTCATTTAAATTTGTCCACAACTACCATTTGTATAAAACAATAATTTTAAGAAATATGACCAATATTTGATTTCACCTCGCGTATTCAAAACACTTTCTAGCAAGTAATAAATGAAGAGAGTCTTCCGCTAGAGGACATTTTTTTGATGAGTACAATGCAACCTGTCGGCACAGATATTCTTGCTAAAAAGAAAGCAAAACAAACTAAAAAGGAAAAAAAAACGGTAAACGAAACGGGAAACGGTAAAGCATGCCTACACGGTCATCCCCAGCCGCGAGGAGAATAGTGCGAGACGCCGAATATACTTCCGGATTTCGCGCCTCGCTCTAGACTCCTCGCTGATCGGATGAATGTTCGTCAAAATATTGGCTTGGAGCCTGACCACGTAAGGTACAGTTGCTCTATGCTTTGTGTATTAGATCAACAAGGTATTCCCCCGTTGAAGATTTTTGTCATTTTTGACGGTAATATTGTAAGGGTAAGGAAAATTTTCCATTTCGCGAGTTCTGTGTCTTGTAATTTAAAAAAGTTTGAATAAAGAAGCAAGTTTGGTCATTACAGAGAATGCATATGGGCACGTTGCACATACACAGGACGAAATCCCACGTTTCCGCATTTCTTAAACGTGACGGAAGCGTAGAGTTTTATGTTTCCGTTACATTTCCGTTTTGCGGAAACCTGAAATACCAAGTCTTGGTGATTCTATCAAGTCTCCGGAACGGAAATGTCAAGTCATGTTTCCGTCATATTTACTTCAGGACGTTTGCCGCTGTTGTTCGTTTCTGTTATATTTCTGCAAACGGATTTTTAATAACCTTGTTGAATCTTTGCAAAGAAAACAAACTGGTGATGGTTTTGTGCAGCTTACTATTTTGACGAAATTGAAACGTCAGGAAACTGCACTTATCATTGAAATGATAAATATGGATTTTCAGAACAACATTCGTGAGAATTCGTTTGTATATGAATTAGCAACTCCGGCTGCTGGCACGACTTGCAAAGTAATAAAATTGATATTATAACACAGCATGGAATCGCAAATTTACCCATCTTTATTTCTTGCATAAAAACAAATTCCGCGTTCCGTGAGCATGCGTTGACGCAGAGACTTGGTAAAGAGTAATCGATATTAAAGGCGCGTAAAGGGCGGCGTAGATTAACGAAACCAAACAGAATATAACTGGTTTAATATCAGTCATACAGTGGTCAACAAAGCTAAGCCAAAGCATACGCGTAATTACTTTAAGAAGTCAAATTTATTTGTAATTTATTCTTTCTAAAGAAAATTCAAACAACTTATGATGCACTAATTTCAGTTCATTGATTATAGTTTCGTTTCCTCGTAACGATTACACGAAAGTCCTTTATCATTGGTCAACTCATCAACAGTTACAACAGTTGTTCTGTCCTTCGGTTCGTGTAAGGTTTTCAACATTATCGGCACTGATCTGGATCTCTGGGCATTCCTCTGTTTCGCAATATGATGACATTTAGTTAGTGACACGAAAGGGTTTTCATGCAGTGACCTTGATCGCACAATTTTCCAACCGATAGGACCCTGAGATCTTCCAAGCTCCGTGGTGTTTTTCGGTAATTCAATTTTGCGCAGACTGCCTTTCCCTCCTGGAGCATTTTCAATCTGGACTGTTACAGTTAGTTGGTCGTGCTGTGGCGCAAATATCTCGTCGCTTGCTACCCTCGATGGAGCTGACATGGGCAGTCTTTCCTTTACTGCTTTGCTCGACCTCTGTCGAAAGGTGTCTGAGCACATCACTGCACCGAGAGATTTTGACCTGAAAAATCGGGGGCGCTTTTGCTCGCTTTGCAACTTTTCGGCATCTAGCGATGCCACGGAATAGCGACGTTGCCTTACATGGCTCGCAGTGCGCTCTGTTGTCCTGTTTCTGCAACATAACAGCTCCAACGTAGCTTTTCTTAAGCGTTTCGTGCTATACCAGTACAATAGTGGATTGAAAAGAGAGTTAAACTGAAGTATTGTTTCTGCCCATCGTACAGTGGAAACCTGGCGGAAAAAAGGCGCAACTCCCCGAAAAAGATAAACGCCGACGCTCGGAAAACCCGACACTGCAAAGAATACCGTTAACCAGAAAGTCGTGTAAGCAAACTTGCTTTCAAGCTTCCCTTTGACCAGAACATTTACTGGGAGGATTCGCGTTCGGTTCCATTTTCGCACGGCGAGATAAGCCTTGACATAAAAATATGCTATAAGTGATAAGCAGACAAACCAGAAAATGCTCAAAATTACATCTACGACTAATATAATTTCATGAAGAACGCTAGCGGATTCCATTACTGCAGGTGGAACAGCCAATAGTACTGCCAACAGCCAAGCAACTCTCGTGTACTTGTTTATACGGTCTCTTGTCACAATAGCTTTGTAATCCATCCATTTCGCTACTGCCACATACCTTTCCCAAGCAATTAAGAGCAAATGTAAAAACGACGCACCGCAAATAGTGTACATTAAAGAGACACTTACAACATCTATTGTACAGATAATATCCACATCTAAAACTCTCTGGATAACTAACGTGTCTAACGAGATAGACAGTGGCATAGAAACAGCGCCCACCAAAAGATCAGTTAAGGCCACGCTAGACAGCAAGATGTTTGAATTCTTTTTCATTTCTCTTCTCGTCTTCATTGCTATTATCACCAAGAGGTTTAACAGAATGGTAACGGGACAGGCAATGGCCGTGATGGCAACGATAATCTTAAAAGAAGTTGTGTGGTTCAAGTCCCAGATGAATTGTGGCAACTCCGGGCAATAAA